TTAAAATAAACACAGGAATCTATATATATATATATATTTTTTTTTTTTTGTCTGAAGCTGCAATGTGACTCAACATCGCCTTGTGGGAGATGGTATTTGCAACATGTACACAACAAAGGGCTCATATCAACATTTAAAGAATGCTTACAAGTCAATAAAAATGTCAGACAACCCCGTAGAGAAACAGGTTTAAAATCCGAACAGATATTTCTCAAAACAGGATAGTCAAAAGGCCAATAAATATGTGAAAAGGTGCTAAACTTCATTACTCTTCAAGGAATAGAAATTAAAATGAAGAAGCATTCCACTATACACCCATCAAAATGGCTAAATGTAAAAGACAGACAATACCAACTCTTGATGAGGATGTAAGAAAAAACAAATCTCAGACATTGCTGATGGGAGTGTAAAATGATACCATCATTTTGGAAAACTGACAATATCTGTAAAAGCGGAACACACATGTCCTATGATTCAGCAATTCTACTTCTAGATAGAAATGCACTCAAAAGCATTCACAAATGTTCCTAGTGCTTCTGTTCAGTAATAGCCCCCAACTGCAAACACTCCATGTGTCCATCAATAAGACAATGAATAAATAAATTGTGGCATTTATCCATGTAAATTGTAGATAAATTGTGGATAAACAAATGGATAAATAAATTGTGGTATTAATTCATGTAATACCACACAATAATGAGAACAAATAAAATATTACCATATACAACATAAATGAATCTCACAAACCTAATATTAAGCAAAAGAAGTCAGGCATAAAAACCCCTACACACACATATAAAGCCCCCAAACAGACAAAACTTAATTTATGGTGTTAGAAGTCAGGGACTTGAAGAGGGAATGAGGAGCCTTCTGGGTGCTGGTAATGCTCTGTTTCTAGATCTAGATTCTGGTTTTCTGAGTGTGTTCACATAGCTAAAATTCATCGATATGAACACTTTTCTGTAAGTGTATTTTATATCAATAAAAACTTACAAGAAAATAAGGGGCTAGGCATGGTGGTTCAGACCTGTAATCCCAGCACTTTGGGAGGTTGGGGTGGGAGGTTCACTTGAAGTTAGAGACTAGCCTGGGCAACACAGCAAGACCCTATCTCTACAAAAAATCTAAAAATCAGCTGGGTATGGTGGTGTGCGCCTGTAATCCTAGCGACTTGGGAACCTGAGAGGGAGGATTACTTGAGCCCAGGAGTTCAAGGCTGCAGTGAACATTGATCATACCACTGCACTCCAGCCTGGGTGACAGAGGGAGATCCTGTCTCTGAAAAATAAATAAATACATACATACATCCATAAATACATAAAAAAGAAAATAAAAGTGTATCCAGGTCATTTAGGAGCCCAGGAAAATGGAAGATGAAGATTTAAAACATTAAGCAATGGCCAGGATCGGTGGCTCCCGCCTGTAATCCTAGCAGTTTGGAAGCCCAATGTGGGCAGATCACCCGAGGTCAGGAGTTCAAGGCCAGCCTGGCCAACATGGTGAAACCCCGTCTCTACTAAAAATACAAAAATTAGCTGGGTGTGGTGGCACGTGGCTGTAGTCCCAGCTACTTGGGAGACTGAGGCATGAGAATTGCTTGAATTTATTTAATATTGAGGCAATACAGAAGCAGATCTTGGAGGCGGAGGTTGCAGTGAGTTGAGATCACGCCACTGCACTCCAGCCTGGGCAGCAGAGTGAGACTCCATCACAAAAAAAAAAAAAAAAATCAATCAAGTAAAAAAGTTAACCACCACAACATCAAGGGTCTGAACCCATTCTCTCTTCCCTGGCTATGGCAAATACTTTTAACCTGTCATGGTATCTACAAGAATTCTTGCTACTAGAGGAGGCGAGTCTTTGTTTTCCCATTTGATTCATAGGAAGATGGAACCCCTGAGGTGGTCAATACATAGATTAAAGTCTCACAGGTAGTTATAGGCAGATGCAAGACCTGAATCTGGTCTCCTAATTCCTGATCATGAGCTTGGTGCACTACAGCCAGTGGTCAGGCTGCATGATCTTGCCGAGTCTGGGTTCCAAGCAGTGAATGCCTTCACTAGGAGCCAGCAAAGTTTTCTCTGTGTCCCTAATTTGTAATAATGCTGAGGATGAGAAATTTGTCCCTAACTTAGAGTAACGCCAAGGACTAGGAGTCTGCTTTAAGTCAGTTCTACCACGAAATAAGCAGATACCCACTCAAAGGTCACTGCGTACACTTCCCTGGACGCACAGGGGGTGCAGCTACAGGACGTAGGCAGGCAATTTTACATAAATACTTCTCCTCTTTCTAAAAGCCTAATTACTAACTGTATTGAACAAGTCCTGAAGGCAGCTGAGATGAGGATAACCCGAGGGAAGAGTGAAAATGCATAACACTTGGGATCCCGTCTAGTATGGCTACTCCTTTTTTTCTATTTTTGAGACGGAGTCTTGCTCTGTTGCTCAGGCTAGAGTGCAGTGGCGCAATCTCGGCTCACTGCAACTCCCGCTTCCCGGGTTCAAGAAATTCTCTTGCCTCAGCCTCCAGAGTAGGCACCCGCCATCACACCTGGCTAATTTTTGTATTTTTAGTAGAGACAGGGTTTCACCATGTTGGCCAGGCTGGTGTCAAACTCTTGACCTCGTGATTCACCTGCCTCTCAGCCTCCCAAAGTGTTGGGATTACAGGCTTGAGCCACTGCACCCGACCTGCTATGTCTATTTCTAAACAAGCCAAGAGAATCACACTTCTCATCCTTCCATCTTTTAAACAAGATTCAAATTGTGGTTTTGAATTTTTTTTTTTAAAGAATGTTTTAGTTCAGTATTTTTGCTTCAAGCTCATTCTTCTGAAAAATATCTGAATATCAAATCCGTAAGCACGAGTTTGGGGAACAGATGGAGACGGAACTGGTGGCTCTCTAGAGGCCATTTACAGCTGGATCCTACCTTTGTAGTGACCATCAGAGGGGCGTATGCCCCCCATAACACTCCCATTCTTCATCTTTTTCCTCAAGACAGCTGCCCTGTGAGCAAAATGCAGACCTCTCAGGGCTCCAGGCAGCACCTCACCCCTCAGAACTGTCTACACAGGTGTGGGAACTAATTACAGACTCTAGCTTTATAGTTCTTTCCAATTTCCTCCCAAAATCTGAATAAATCTCCCCAACAAAACTAAAGTCAGTTTTCTCTCAACTCACAGTCTTTTTGTGTACATTTCCCCTAGGAATCGTACTCTTTTTTATTTCAAAAGATGACGTACTGCCCGCACCTCCTCCCAGCCATCTCAACTTTTTGGTTCCTATTTTCTATAAGAAATCTCCCTTTTTGTCCAGGCGCGGTGGCTCAAGCCTGTAATCCCAGCACTTTGGGAGGCCGAGACGGGCGGATCACGAGGTCAGGAGGTGGAGACAATCCTGGCTAACACGGGGAAACCCCGTCTCTACTAAAAAATACAAAAAATTAGCCGGGCGTGGTGGCGGGCGCCTGTAGTCCCAGCTACTCGGGAGGCTGAGGCAGGAGAATGGCGTAAACCCAGGAGGCGGAGATTGCAGTGAGCTGAGATCCGGCCACTGTACTCCAGCCTGGGCGAGAGCGAGACTCCGTCTCAAAACAAAAAGAAAAAAGAAAAAAGAAGAAAAAAAAATCTCCCGTTTCAGTGAGAGTTCTGGCTCTGGTTCCTTATCTCTTTTGCCCAACACTTGGCTCCTTTTATTTCTCCGTGCTGGACTGTAATGGCATCTTTGCTGGAATGCTCATAGGCGGAAGTGCTTAGAAGAGAAACACTAGTAGTGGAACCAAGATATGGCAAGTTTTACATTATTTTAACTTTGAAGTTTCCTGCAGGCTGTCTCAAAGAAACAGAAACAAGCCCTTTCCCAGATTGCCTTTCAACGCAGAGCCAGTTACAATATACGGGGGTTACTGCGCTGGACCGTAAAATAGACTGTTAAAAGTAATTGTTCCTCACTCGAGCTAGTCCAGCAAAAAAAAAAAAAAAGTAATTGTCTCAATTTTGGCTATACATGTCCTTATGTGCTTGAATTTGCAAGAGCTCCAAAGCAACAGAATCTGGTATTTGGTTTCCTGAAGGCATAACATTCTGTTTTTTCAAAGCCTCAACCTGACAGAGGCTGAAACCAAATCCTTCAACCTGCAATTTAGTCACTTTCATGTAAATGTCGGTCAGTTTTCTGACATCTGTCTAACACTATGTTGGAGTGACCAGATCAAGGCTGTAATGAGCCCACCATTCCTGGTAATTATCTTTGCATGGGGCTGTCCTGCTGAAGGTTGGGCCCAAAGTGAAGCCATCAGTGTAAGTGCCCTGATCCTTAATGAGATCCCTGTGGCTTGAGAAGAGGAGATGCAGATGAACTCCTTACCTTCATCTGGATCAGATTCTTCTTTATTTTCACAGAGCCACTTGACCAAAGGAAAGGCTTGACCAAAGGGAGACTCCCAACCAAACGCTTCCAGGGCCTGGTTCCATTTATGCCCCGGGTTTGCTCTTTCGATTGCCCGTGTTGTCAGCTCAGTACAACATGGCTCCTTCTTCCATGAGGAGCAGCTCAGTAGGGTTCTGCATTCTGGTACAGTGAATGGTACAGACCTGCAGCCTTTTTTTTTTTTTTTTTTTTTTTGGTACCTTCTCAGCTGCCTGTCTACAAGGCATGGGCAGTGGCCAGCCACCACTACAATAATTTAGGCACTTAAACACTTTTGAAAATTCTGCACCCAAGCAAGAAACTGTGATTCTGGAACTCCAATTAGCGGAACGTACCAGGCAAAAATCATCCAGGCACATCGGCTTTCAGAAAGTTTTACTATGGAAGAAGCAAATAAATAAACAAACAAAAGAAGATGATGATGAGGAAGGAGGGGGCTGGAGAAAGAGGGAAAAGAGGAGAAGGAGAAGTCGAGCCCATAGATATATTACTATAGCATAGATATTGTACTGTACCAAAGCACCCACTCAGAAAGCGAAAGAAGTTTCTTCTTCCCTCACTGGAGCTCACCTCTCTCTATACAGGGCCCTGTTCCAGGAAATCGCCAGTGGCTGCTCTCTGTGGTCAATAATAGATAATTCCAGATGAAAAGAAGTGTTCTGAAGTCAAGATGTAGTTTTTAGATCAATGGTTTTACGCAATAGTTGAATCCAGGGATCTCCGGTGGGTCTGCGAAAATTCTTCCAGCCGCTCAGTGGGCTGAGTCTAAATGCAAGGCTCACAGTGTGTTGGGTGTTTTTTTCTTTCTTCTTTCTTTTTTTTTCGCCTTTGAAGCATATTTTCCACTGCAGATTTGAGACAAAATTTAAATGCACCAAAGCAAATATTTTTGAAAGGAGCTACAAATAATCACAAGAGATTCAGCGAAAACACCTCAAAGGTGTTTTTTGTTTGCTTGCTTCTGTATTTAATCTAGTAAATAGGTGAGACTCTTGTTCTGCTTAAGTAGCCTAAAGACTAAAAATTTCGAGACTCACCAGATTAAAAGATGAAAAGATGAACCTTGCAAAGCGCATCTTTTTCAGGAGAGGAAAGTAAGATTTTTTTTTCTTCTCTGAATTTCCCATTTCCCAGTGTCATTTATTCCTAGTTCTCTCTCTCAGCACTGCTTTCTAGTTCGGTGCCCACAGCTTGGAGTCGGGAGCAGCCGCTATCAAAAATAATCCCTCTCTGCTGCCACAGGTGTATTTATTTAGGGTTTTCTTCCAGGGAGCAGGAGTTCAGGTGTAGGTGAAGGGGACATTAAATGTGGCTGCAGCTTGGGGAGATTCTAGTCCCATGGGAAGAGGTAACCTCAGGAAAGTCTGGGCTGCTGGAGAAGAGTTTTATGAGTTATCTAATAACCTGGTTCTCAGCCACATAGCACAACAAAGCTGTCCAGGCATTTAGGTTCCTCGGAAGCCACAAGATAAAAATTTACACTTATGCCTGTGTCTGCTTTTCCCTTTCTAACAGAGTAACATGCACATTTGGCTATTTGTTGGACCAATTTACACGGCCATCATTTCCTAGAAGGATTTTAAAACAGACCGGGCTACCTACACTGCAGATAAAGTTTGGAAGCTGTACACTAAAATGAACTTAGAGGTCTCTAGTTGGATTTTGGTGAAGTGTTTGCAACACCATTTACCTATCTGGATAATTCTGTCATGTACAAAGTACTCTCCAATAATTCAGGGGTCATCCTGTATGACCCAGATACTGTTAGCCCTTTCAATCCTTTGTGCAGGCTTACCTAGAAATAAAGGGAAAAATGTTCTTCCCACCTTGCTTGATAAGATAAAAACAATGTGTTTGCTTTTTTAATGTAACTGGAAAAAAAAAAAAAAAAGGAAAGAAGAAGGAAAACAAAAAAGCCAATTCCAACATCCGGATGAAATTTATTACATACTTCTCTGGGAACACCTGGTTCCTGAATGATTTGGCTTATCATCCCTTTTCCAGGTCTTCAGAGATGCAATGATTCAGCATGTTAGGAAATGATACTTTGCTGCCAGATACTATAAAGTTGATTTAAAGAGGTTGTAAAAATGCTGTAGCCTTAACCAAACTCCTGGTAGGGGGAGGTGAGGCAGCACATGCCGTGTAAGCGTGCTCACATATTTCTGTGTGGCTACCCAGTGGGAAAGTTATTTGCCACTTCTGGAGAAGCTGGAAGTTGTCAACTATACTACCTTGTATCTCAGCCCTAGAATCTGCCTCATGCGTGTTTATACCTGACCAACTTCTGTCAAGTTACCCCACTTCACTCCCTACCATATACATATATATATATATTTTTTGTTTTGTTTTGTTTTTGTTTTTGTTTTGAGATGGAGTCTCCTTCTGTAGCCCAGGCTGAAGTGTTCAAGTGATTCTCCTGCCTCAGCCTCCTGAGTAGCTGGAATTATAGGCATCTGCCAGGACGCCTGGCTGATTTTTGTATTTTTAGTAGAGACAGGGTTTCTGCATGTTGGTCAGGCTGGTCTCAAACTCCCAACCTCAGGTGATCTGCCTGCCTCAGCCTTCCAGAGTGCCGGGATTATAGGCATGAGCCGCTGCGCCTGGCCACTACTATATAACCTTATTTTCTTCCTAGAACTCATCACTATTTGAAATTACATGAACAACATGAGTTTTTTTGTTCTTGTTTTTTGCCAGAGTCTTGCTCTATCACCTAGGCTGGAGTGCAGTGGTGCGATCACTGCAGCCTCAAACTCCTGAGCTCAAACAATCCTCCCACCTCAGCCTCCCAAGCAGCGGGGAGTACAGGCAGGCATCATCATGCTTAGTTATTTTTCTTACTTTTTGTAGATAAGGGCTCACTTTGTTGCCCAGGCCGGTCTTGAACTTCTGGGCTCAAGTAATCCTCCTGCCTTGAGCAACATGCACATTTTGCAAAGTGCTGGGACAACAGGCCTGAGCTACCGTGTGCCCAGCTAACAACATGGGTGTGAGCTGCACAGGTCCACTTGTATATGGACTTTTAAAAATAAATGTATTAGAACATTTTTTGGAGATTTGTAACAATTTGAAAAAACTCACAGATGAACCTCATAACCTAGAAATGTTCAAAAACTTAAGAAAAAGGCATGTCATAAATGCATAAAATACATGTAGATACTAGTCTATTTTTATCATTTACTACCATAAAATATACTTAAGTCTATTATAAAAAGTTAAAATTGGGGCCTGGCACGGTGACTCATGCCTGTAATCCCAGCTCTTTGGGAGGCCAAGGCGGGTGGATCACGAGGTCAGGAGATTGAGACTATCCTGGCTGACATGGTGAAACCCCGTCTCTACTAAAAATACAAAAAGTTAGCCGGGGGAGGTGGCGGGCGCCTGTAGTCCCAGCTGCTCGGGAGGCTGAGGCAGGAGAATGGCGTGAACTCGGGGGTAGAGCCTGCAGTGAGCCGAGATCGAGCCACTGCACTCCAGCCTGGACAACAGAGTGAGACTCCTTCTCAAAAAAAAAAGTTAAAATTGTCTGGGCGTGGTGGTTCATGCCTGTAATTCTGGTACTTTGGGAGGCCAAAGTGGGCGGATCATGAGGTCAGGAGTTTGAGACCAGCCTGGCCAATATGATGAAACCCCTTCTCTACTAAAAATACAAAAATTAGCTGGCGTGGTGGTGCGCTCCTGTAATCCCAGCTACTCAGGAGGCTGAGGCAGGAGAATAGCTTGAACCCGGGAGGCAGAGGTTGCAGTGAGTCGAGATCATGCCACTGCACTGCAGCCTGGGTGACAGAGCGAGACTCTGTCTTGAAAAAAAAAAAAAACCAGTTAAAATTTATCAACACTTATATACAAATACTGTACATGGCACCATTAGCGGTGGAGAGAAATGTAAGCAAATGTAAAGATGCCGTATTAAATCATAACCGCATACAATTAACTGTTACACATACTATACAACTGTAATAATTTCAAAGCCACCTCCTGTTGCTATTGCTGTGAGCGCAAGTGTTGCAAGCATCTGCTTAAAATGTCAGGTGACACTGATCACCTCCAGGTAAGCAGTTAGTTTCTCTAGTAAATTATTGCATATATCAGTAGAAAGTGCTCTCTCAAGGTTCTCGTGTGTTTTTTTGTAGTGTTTAATACAGTATCGTAAACTTTGAATAACACTACAGGACCCATACAAGGTGCCACTCGTGATGCTAGAAGTGCTCATAAGAAGCAGAGAAAAGTCATGACACTACAAGAAAAAGCTGAATAGCTTGATATATACCATAGATTGAGGTCTGCAGCTGCGACTGCCTACCATTTCAGAGAGATGATTCATCTTGTAAACAGATGACATAAATTTATGGCATCAATAAATACAGTACAGTACTGTAAATGTGTTTTCTCTTCCTTATGATTGTCTTAGTAACATTTTCTTTTCTCTAGCTTACTTGACTGTGGGAATACAGTGCATAACACATATACAGAATATGTGTTGATGATTTATGTTATCTGAAAGGCTTCTTTCTGGTCAATAGTAGGCTATATTAGTAGTTAAGTTTTGGAGAAGTTGAAAGGTATACTCAAATTTTCAACTGGTTAGGTGCCCCTAACCTCCATGTCGTTCAAGGGTCAACTGTATCTTGTCTGTTTACTTGTTTTGGTCTAGTTCTCCAACCATAATATAAATGTCATGAAAGTATCTCATCTGTCTTGTTTACTGTTGTACCCTACATGTTTAAAATAGTGCCTGCAGACAGCAGGTGTTGGATAAATATGGGCCACAGTAAAGGATGTGGATTTAGTTAAATCAGGTCAACCTAGATTTTGTCATGAAATTCTTGGATCCTCATGTGACCCCTAATGAATGGAAGTATGTGAGCAAATTCTCTCCATCTATGACAAAAATCAAAGGACCTTTGGCTTGATGTCCAGGGGTGTCAATGTACCTCACATGTGTAGCCTCAATACACTCTAGCTGAGGGTCTGGGAGCAGTGCTGGCCCAGGATGCTAGGTCACCAGCCCTTGCCTAGGGCCAGGCTGAGATGCTTGCCTCCCACTGGGGGTCTCACAGAGTCAGGCCTAGGCAACTCTCTGCATCCTATAAACCACAAGGGCTCCAGCAGTCCATAGACAGACCAGGGTGACAGGAGTGAGGCATGTGTCGTGGGTATGAAACTTCACCAGGTGCTAAAAATTCCAATAATCAGAATAAGTAATATTTTAATGAAATACTTAAAAATAAAAAAAGTATGCAAAAAATAGAAATAAAATTTATCATTTATAAATGATCAAGGGATCTGTCTTCTATTATTCCATTACCCAGCTCATTATACAAGGGTTAGATAGGATCCGGGGGTAACTCTCTCATGGGTTCTTCACACTTCTCCTGAGATCTAGGAATGGAAGGCCTAAACTAGACAAGCCCCAGGAAACTGGAACCAGGCAGCACCACCCCCACTCTCCCTAGTTATTTTGGAATTCTATGCAGAAGGTGGTGGCTCCTTCCTCAAAAAACTAAAAATAGAACTACCATATGATCCAGCAACCCCACTGCTGGATATATAACCAAAAGAAAGTAAATCAGTATTTAGAAGAGAGATCCACACTCCCATGTTTATTGCATCCCACAA